GTGTGCAGATGAAGTGGTGATTTCTTTCTTTCTCATTCCTGTCTCCTTTTCTCAACACATTTCTGTGAAGAATAGCGAGTGCCTCATTGAGATTGGTGTTCACGTGCGCGTCGGATTCCCTGTCTGCTGCTCTCCACAAACGAGATCCCTTGGTCCGACGAAAAAAAGCGAGAAAAAAGAGACAGATTGAAAATTTATCCAATTCATCTTTGTGTCTTGAGCAGGCCGAGAAGTTTTCACGACGACGACAACCTCCTGACCAACGAGGAGACCTGCGTATGGAAGCCACAAAGATAGTAGCGTGCACACGTGCACTGTCAAAAACTCAGAATGCTCACTGCTTTGATCAGCGGAAAAATAAGCTGTGTCTTCTGAGTAGGCAAGTCGCCTCATGCGCCGCCACCAAGGGCTCTCTCTATATATCGTGACGAACACTCGACATCTGTCCTTTTTGCCTTCTCTTTCAGCTCAGCGAGAGAGGTCCTTCCCTTTCCCGGCATCGGCAGAAATATTTTTTCACGCCCGAGGAGTGGGCACTGCTGTTAGCACGGGTTCGCGCGCAGGTAAGTGATGGACCAACTGACAAATGAGACAGACAGTGACCGCTGTGCCCATCTAATTGCTTGTGCAGAGCGAGTCGGAAGAGGCGCCGCCGCCTCACAAGCGGCATCGATGGCGTGGCTCGCCAAGTTCCAAGAGATGTGGGCGAGGGAAGCTGCCGGTGAGGAGGTGGACAAGGATGCGTGGCTGAAGGAGGCCCATCGGGCGGCCAGGGCGGCAGCAGAGGAGGCCAAACGGAACTTCGACAAGACCACCAAGGCGAACACGAAAGGCGCCAACAGCAAGGACGACACCCCCACTGCCCGCCCCACCAAGGAGGAGCCCACCCCGGCACTCGCCCTGCTTCCGCCGCCGCCAAGCAGAGACCTGCCCCCACGGTCCCCAAAGCAGCAACCAGGGTGTCGGAGCGGCAGCAGCAGCACCAGCAGGAGGCGAAGGCGAGGCGGCAGGAGCTCGAGAAGAGGAGCGAGGAGGCGGCCAAGCACCGCTTCCGAGTCTGAGTGGCTGTGTCCGGCAGCGGTGCGCGTGTCTGACCGCGCGCCGCTGCCCGACACATCCCTGCCCCCATCCCCATGCTGCCCGTGGTCTGTCCGTGGTCGTCCATTCGTGTGTCCGTTCGGTGTGGTAGTTCGTGTTTCCCCGGTGGGTGTGGGTGTGGCGACGTGCTCTTCAGCCATGGCAGGCCTCTCGACGTCACCCACACCACAAGACGTCACCATTTACCCAGTGGCCTTCCAAGACGGCCGGTCCAGCGAGAACAACACCATCATCCGGGTCAACCACTCGGTGTGGTCATTCGACCTGCTGGTGCACAGGACATGCGCTTCACTGTGGGAGGGGTAAGCAGCCGCGAACGACCCCACTGCATGTGCTCTGTAGCAGACGTCTGTCTGTCTGTCTGTCTGTCATCGTCAGGGCCGTCAGAAGGCGTTTTTCACGCCCGATGACTTAGACCGGCTTCGCGAACAGGTAAGTGATGGACCGACTCACGAATGAGACAGACAGACAGACAGTGAGTGACCGCCGTGCCCATCTTTTTACTCACATGTGCAGAGGGACGAGGCCAGCCGAATCGCCGCCGCCTCACAAGCGGCATCGATGGTGTGGCTCGCCAAGTTCCAGGAGAGGTGGGCGAGGGAAGCTGCGGGAGAGGAGGTGGATAAAGAGACCTGGGGGGAGGAGGCCCGGCTGGCGGCCGAGGCGGCGGCAGAGGAGGCCAAACGGCACTTCGACGAGGCCACGACGGCCCACACGACGCACGGCACCACGCCCGCCGACGCTTCCTCTTTTGGGCGTCACTGTACAGCACAGCATAGCATACGGTAAGGGTAGGGGAGCAGGTCATATGCAGCATTGAACCATCCCTTCATGTCATCTCTTGCCGTTGGCTGTCCTTCCTCCACTCAGGCAACGAGTGGAGCCATAGCGTCAGCTGGCGACACCCATATCACATCCATTGCTTCTGTCAGTCACCGCAGAGGCTGCTGCTGCTCGACCGACCTCAGCAACATCATCTCCACCTACCCTCTCCCGCACCCGCAACTCCATCTGGACAGCAGTTCGACCCGCAGACGCATCTCGCTCAGCGCCCCACGGGCCCTCCACCCCGCCGCCGACACTCAAGCGCCCTGCCGCAGCTGCCAAGCAGAGACCTGCCCCCACGGTCCCCGCGGCAGCAACCAGGGTGTCGAAGCGGCAGCACCAGCAGGAGGCGAAGGCGAGGCGGTAGGAGTTAGAGGAGAGGAGCGAGAAGGCGGCCAAGCACCGCTTCCGCGTGTGAGTGGTCCGTGTCCGTCAGCGATCTGGGCAGAAGAGAGACACCAGCTCTCCTCGGCTGTTGGCTTGCTGCGTGTGTGCAGTATCGCTGCTTACATTTTATATTTTGACGGCTGTGTTGTTGGTTCCCTCGTCCAGTGCTCACTCTGAGCTCTCCCTTGTAAGTGTGCGGTCGAATGAGAGCAATTTGAATGAGAGAAGAGGCTTCGTGCTGGCGGGCAATGACAGGATGTTGATTCGATACATTGCATGCGAGCTGTGTGTGTGTGTGCAGAAGTGCCACCCCGATAAGGTCGCGTCCGCCGCGGCGTTCCAGCAGCTTCGCGAGGCCTATGAGGTGGCCTACGAGTACGTGGCGAAAGCCACTGTGGCAGCGGTAAGCAGCCGCGAACGAACCCACTGCATGTGCTCGTCTGGCAGACAACTGTCTCACTCTGTGCTGTTGTGACAACTTGTGAGTTATCTCAGGCCAGAGTGAGATTCATCTCCGATGAGTGGAACCGACTCATCGTCACGGTGAGTAGCGGACCGACTGACGAATGAGACAGACAGACAGACAGACAGTGAGTGACCGCCGTGCCCATCTTATTAATTGTGCAGTCGGTCTACCCCTGTCTGTCTGTCGGTCTTTTTAGCTCAACGACAGGCTCGCCCGCCGCACCAAGGAGCTGGCCATGCAGTACCAACAGATGACCAACACGGAGCCTCAGGTGGGTGGGTGGGTGGTTGAGTGAGTGTCACACAGACAAATGCGACAAGGGTGGACGGCCTCACTGGCTCACTCGTGAGTACATCTGTGTGTGTGTGTGAGCGTGTGTGCAGGAGGAGGATGGGGAGGCGGATGATGGGCAGGTGCCCGAGTGGCTTGATGAGCCCCTCCCACATTACACGTCGCTGCCGGTAGGCAAGGCACCCCACAATCCACACGCCGACGTCTGGCACCCATGTGTGTGTGTTGTGCACATCTTGGTTGTTTCTACCAGCTGGCCTCCCAGCCGCCGCAGCAGCCCCAAAGCTTCTTTCACTAAGAAGTCGATGCCCGTCCGCCGCGTCCGCCTGTTTGTCCGTCCACTGTTGCCTGTCCGTCCTCACCTGCGTCTACTCGACTGCATGCCTGCCCGACAACGTGACTCCCCGACTGCTCCAGCCACGCCGCCAGCCGCCCTTCTTCCCTCTGAGCCCCCTAAGGGTGGCTCTTCGGCGGCGTTTCGAGAGCTGCACGAGGCCTATGAGGTGGCCTGCGCGAGCCTGATTGGCGGCACTGTAGGGGTAAGAAGCCGCGAACGAACGCACTCCATGTGCTAGTCTCATTGCGTTGTTGTGTGTCTGTCTGTCTGTGTGTCTGTCTGTCATCGTCAGGGCCGTCAGAAGGTGTTCGTCACGGAGTTAGCACGGGTTCCCGCGCAGGTAAGTGATGGACCAACTGACGAATGAGACAGACAGTGACCGCCGTACCCGTCCTATTGCTAACATGTGCAGAGGGAAGAGGGCAAGCGAAGGGCAGCGGGGTCGCGAGCTGCGGGTAAGGCCCACTTGGAGAAGCTGCGGGAGATGTGGGCGAGGCAAGATGCGGGTGAGGAGGTGGATGAGGATTCCTGGCTGGAGGAGGCCTGGCTGGCGGCCGAGGCTGCAGCAGCGGAGGCCGAGCGCAACTTCGACAAGACCACCGCTGCCGCCACACCGCTGTCCGTGGTCCGTCCATTCGTGCGTGAGTTCGGTGTTGGAGTTCGTGTTTCCCCGGTGGCTGTGGGTGTGGCTGAGGTGGTTGGGCATTTCCGGCAGGACCTGACCATGAGCCAGCTGTCGCGTGCGGTGAGGAAGGGGGGTGGGGGGGGGGGGCGTGGAGAGACACCAGCTCTCCTTGGCATGCTGCGTGTGTGCAGCATCGCTGCTTACATTTTATATTCCGATGGCTGTGTTGTGGGTTCCGTCGTGCTCACTTTGATGTGGATTAGGCAGACTGAATGGGTGTTGGGGGCTGGACGGTTGCATGGTGTCGGTGGCCACGGCCAGGGCATGACTGACGGGCGCTGTGAGGTGCGTGCAGACCGATGACATCTAGATGAATCTCTGTTGGCCAAGAGAGTCCATTGACGGATAAGTGTATAGTGCACACACGCATAGCATCCGGGGGAGGGGGTCCCCTCACTCACGCAACACTCAAAACAGAACGTGATTACACCGAAACACCTTGGCGCCAAAACGACTGAAACGTCAGTCACGCGAAGCTGCTGCCTATCCACACTATGCTGACGTCCCCCGACCTTGGCTGGGTGAGTGAAGGCCTTGATGTATGTCTGTCTGTTCTGTCTGTCTATGTACACACACTCATGGAGGCAGTGTGTCGATGCTCTACTCACCTACACATGCGCGCATCTGTCGGTGTACCTATCTGATTGGCTCCTGGAAGAAACTGATCAGCACCTCCAGGCTGCACACACAGACAAAACAGAACGGAACAACCGCAATGTGTCGCTGTATGTTTGTATGTATGTACTTGTAGTTGTTGAGTATGGCGGTGAGCTCTTCCAGCCGCTCGCGGCTCACAGAGGGGTAGCCCTTCAGCTGCCATTTGCTCACATACCTAATGGACGGACAGATCGATGCATGGGACGGACACATATACGAGGGCAGCCTTGTCTCTGTCTGTCTGTGTGTGAGACTCGGTGTGTGCGTACGTGTCATGGACGAGTCCATGCAGGAATGAAAGCCGCCGCGGCTGCTCCTCGTACTCCCGCTTGATCGAATCTACATAGACACGAAATGCACCAAATCATTCCATGGACACACACATGGACACACACGAGCGTACCAGCATTGTCAATTACGTGTCTGAGGTCGGGTGCGAGGAAGTCGACCGTCCCCTCCTGCTGCTGTATCTCCCTAAGTGGCTCCACCAGCCGCACCTGGGTGGCCAACGCGTGCTGCACCGACAGCCTACGGTCCACCAGAGACAACACGTGGGGCAAACTGGCATCCTGGACGGACCAGACAGACAGACAGACAGAGATGGTGCACGTCTCGTTGATTGTTGCTCATGTGAATGTATCCACCTGCACGTCGGTGGTGATGGCGAGGTGGATTTTGCGGTTTGTGGCCTCGCTGGACAGCACCTCCTGCACACACCGATGCATGCAGGTGTGCACAGCCGCATGATTGGTGGTGGTCTTGGTGGCTCCCTCCCTCTCTCTGGCACCTTGAGAATCCTCATGGTGGCCACACAGTCTGTGCGAAACACCGCCGAACCCTTAGAATACCTACATGAGCACAAACGCAACACACGTGCGTGAGTACATCGACAGACAGCCGGCCAACCTGGCCTCCATGTGTGTGCCCAGGTAGGTCGACCGGAAGACGGCGCACTCCTGCACACATGAGGGAGGGACGGAGAGAGGGATGGAGGGATGGGAGCTTCCTGTTGGCCATATGCTCACCTCGTCCTGGTTGGGTCTTGCTGGGAGGTCGTTGACGCACGCACCAAGCCATCCGTGCACTTCACCCAAACTAAACGAACCTGCTCACATACATCCATCCAAACAATCATCATTAAGATGAAGCAAGTGTGTGTCGGTTTGCGCATGCCCACCAGTGATCCGCAGCTCATTCAGAGGCAAGTCCTTCGGCAACTGTAGGCAGTAGAGACCTGCCTGCCTCCCTGCCTGTATGCGTGTGTGTGGCCGGCAACCCGTGCGCACCTCTTGCACTCGTTCGTGGAGGCTAAGAGGCTTGACGGGGATGTCAATCAACGGACACACGCGAAGGGACGTCTACACACACATACACACATACACACAGCACAGCCACGTGGACAGATAGACAGCAGCTCACACAATGGATTGTATACCTTTGGCACGACGAAGCACGACATGGTGCCGTATCGGCCTGATGACACACACGATGATACAACCATCCATCTGCGTTGTGTTTCCAAGACAGCGAGTACCCTCAACGGTGCGGAATCGGACCTCCAAGCGTGTCGGATCGCCCTGGTGCACACATGTCATCCATCAGTTGGTCACGTATGTGTGCGCATGCATCGCTCTCTCCTCCTGCCTGTTTTGTTGTGCTGACCTGACACCGCATTGTGGCGAGCAGTGGACTAGCAGAGTCACCGTCAGATCGAGTCACTACTGGGGCTGCATGTGGGAATGACATCACATCACAGCGGGTATGAGATGGATCTTACTCTGTTCAGTGGATCCCTCCGAGCAGTCGAGCAGGTCGATGGCCACGTCGCTGCGAAGCACCACCAACTCCTGCATGTGTGTGTGGGGGGGCAAGCGTCCCCACGTGAAGGCACTCCTTCTGTGCGTCCGACGGTGCATGGATACGTACGATTGGGTCGGGTGAGTCGACGGTGAGGAGGTAACACGCCTCGTCCGACATCAAACGAAACCGATGCGATATCTGACACACACGCACGCGCAGAGAGAGAGAGGAGAGAGCGAGAGAGAGATTACGCGACCCCATTCTGTCTGTGTCTGCCTGGCTGTGGGCTGACGGGTGCGTGGGAAACCTTTGTGGGCACGGCGGCAGCAATGACGCTCTTGGACAGATCCTGATACCTGAACCAAGACATCAGCAAAGACAGATTGTGCATCACACCTTGGTTCATCTACCCATCATACCTCTTCCGTGCGTGTTCGAGCTTCTCTCTCAGTGCCGCGACCTCCTTCTCCAGCGATTTCACCTTCTTGGCCTGACAAACAAACCGGTCGGTACGCACAGCGGAAACAAACTACTGGTCGTGCGGTCACGTACCCGCGCCTCCGGGCTCTCATCGGGTCTGGTCTGCGCCTCGCCGCCCTCGACCTCACCTGCGCAACATCAGCCAGGCACACAGACATGAGGTGAAGAGCTTGCTGTGTCGGGCTAGTGGCCACGGTGTGTACCCGATGCCGCTGCTGCTGCTGCCCCGGTGGTGTCTGCTGCCGACGCATCTGGAGACACCATCACACATGACACACAGGGGTGCTCTGTGTGTGTGTGTGTGTGTGTGCATGGTAGGTGGGATGCATGTGTGTGACAGCTGCTGGCTGGGTGATCGACCTGGAGTGAGTGCGACCACCCGCCCGCTGTACGTTGACACTATCACCTCCAGATAATCTGGGAGGGAAAATGTCACTCTCACACGTGTGCGTGAGTGTCAGATGCAATGTGCGTGTGTGTGTACCTACCTCCCGTAGTGACGTATCCCGCGTCGAGTCCCCTGATGCTCTCGTGAAGGCACACCTCATACGCCAACACAGGCGACCCACTCAGCACCTCACGCCATATCTGTGTAACAAGTACACCCACCAACAGATACCGAAGACTCTCTCAAATGGTTGCTCGTTGGCTGACCTCTACAGTGCCGTCATCCCGGCCGATCAGCACATCGGGCTCCCCCGACTGTCGATGAGCAATTTCACACACCCATGGGCCGCCGATTTGTTTGTATGTCTGTGTATGTGGTGGTTGGCAGCCGTTCGTCATACCCCAGTGAAGTCGGCACCCATGATATTGACAACACCAGCCCTGACAAACAAAACCAACACGCACACCACATCAAGGCCAAGACCGGTGTATGTATCTGTCTTCCCGCCTGGCTGGCTGGCTGCCTGCCAGTCCCGCCTACCGCCGTTTTCTTTTGGCCGGCTGGTCCTCATCCACCTCTATCAGGCACCCCTCCCGCATCACATTATCCACACTGACCACAGAAGGACCGACAAAAGTGACACACACAGAGCGCCATACATTCGTCCTCGTCCACCTTTATGCCTCCTCGCGCTCACGTGTCGATGAGTGCCAGCCCGGCCCTGCCAGTCTCGGTGCCATAGAGCAGCTCGATCGGCAGCTGAGAGCCGGGCACACGCTCGCGGAGGAAACCTGTGAATGAATGGCCAGCAGATGGATGCATTGACGGAGACAAGATGCACCGTTTCGGTTTGGTCACGTACCGAGTGCGGTGACAGGTCCATCGACGGGGTACTGGTGGTACAGTTGCTCCCCACTGTACACTCGAATGTGGCGGTCCTGAGGGCAAACAAGAGAATGACGGCATAACAGTCGAGCGACCCTGTGTGGCCCGACTACCGACCTGACAGGCAACAATCGAGCACAGGGGCGTCCTGCAAGTGACAGGCGGAGAGGGAGAGAGATGTGGCAGCCATGTGTAAAGGTATCCAGAAGTGTAAGTATGTGTGTGTGTGTAGGTTACTGACTGCGGTCCGGCCACAGCGGCGCACTGGAGGTCGTTGATGCGGTCGGGGGACATGACGAACCCAGCGTCCTTGCAGCTGTCGTATATCGTCAACAAGTAATCCTACACACACACACACAGCCACACCCACACCCCCACACACCACAGCAGAGATAGAGAGAAGCCAACAGATTCACATGTACGCCACACACAAGTGCATTGTGAGTTAGCTCAGCTCACCCCGCCGGCCCAAATCATGGCTTCGTGCACGACGAGCGATGAGATGGTCTCAGTGAGGTTGGTCTTGAACTTGAGGAACTCCTTGCCCTTCCGCGTGAAGCCCCATATCGTCTGACCCGCACCCACAAACAGCTTGTCCCGCCCACACTGCAGCGCCACACGGCTGACGGGGCGGCCCAGGGGAGGCGACCGCCACTCCACCTCCGCTGCGCCCTTCTTCATAAAGAACACCGTCAGCACACCGGAATCGTCACCAATCGCAACTGAGTGCAACATTAGACCAAACAATGCCGCGCAGATCTCTCCTCACACACCATGCTGTCTGTTCTGACATGCTGACCTTTCTGTTGTCTCTTCTTTCCGAATGGCAGCACTGCGAGTGTGTTGCGTGCGATGCTCCCTCCCGAAGTGTGCAACAGATCTACCACATACAGCTGCATTCTGATGAATGAATGCCGTCAGAACCACTGAGGCGAGATAGAGTCACTCCGCGGTGCGATTTTTCACAGATCTCGATGCCACTAGACGACTCTCGAGCTTGGCTCGAAGCCACTGGGCAAGGAGAAGGAGGGCATCACCCAAGCTCACGCCTTGCCTCCGGCTGCGTTCGGGTGCTCCATGAAACCGCAGCTCCTGCTTCCCGAAAGAACCGGACGGTCATGAGAATGGCTGACATTCCCACGAATGAAACGGAGGAGGGGAAAGCCGCCCGCCCAAGCCGCAGAAACGGCGCACGACGAACTGATGGCGCGATGAATTGGTTCATTGTTTTGACGTAGCGAGCCGCCGTCGCCGACATCAAAGCACGGTTCCACGAGCGCTGCCTGGTAAGCGCACTGGCGAGTGAGGAAGGTCATGTTGATGGCAGATACCCATTCGATGCACTTTTGCATTGCTGTGTGTGCAGAAGTGCCACCCCGATAAGGGCGGCTCTTCGGCGGCGTTCCGAGAGCTGTATGAGGCCTACAAAGTCGCCTGCGGACACCTGATTGGCGGCAGTGTGGGAGGGGTAAGCAGCCGAACGAACTCACTGCATGTGCTGGTCTCATTGCGTTGTTGTCTGTCTGTCTGTCTGTCTATCATCGTCAGGGCCGTCAGAAGGTGTTCGTCACGGAGTTAGAACAGCTTCGCGCGCAGGTAAGTGATGGACCAATTGACGAATGAGGCAGACAGACAGACAGACCGCCGTGCTCATCAGATTAATTGTGCAGAACGAAGAGGCCAAGCGAAAGGCAGCGCCAGCACGAGCCGCGGGGAAGGAGCACTTGGAGAAGCTGCGCGAGATGTGCGCGAGGGAAGATGCCGGCGAGGAGCTGGATAAGACGGCCTGCCTGAAGGAGGCCCATCGGGCGGACAGGGCGGCAGCAGAGGAGGCCAAACGCACCTTCGACAAGGCCACCGCTGCCGGCACACGAGGCGCCATACATACAGCGACATGTATGTATGTGTGGACGCCGTACGTTTAGAGTATGTGTGGAGAGGCAGCAGCTTCACGTGACTGACGTTTCAGTCGTTTTGGCGCGAAAGTTGTCGGTGTAATCACGTTCTGTTCTTAGTGCTGCGTAAGTGGGGGGACCCCCTCCCCCGGATGCTATGCGTGTGTGCATACACTTATCCGTCAATGGACTCTCTCGGCCAACAGAGATTCATCTAGATGTCATCGGTCTGCACGCCCCTCACAGCGCCCGTCAGTCATGCCCTGGCTGTAGCCACCGACGCCAGGCAAGCGTCCAGCCCCCACCTCCCATTCAGTCTGCCTAATCCACATCAATGTGAGCACGACGGAACTAACAACACAGACATCGGAATATAAAATGTAAGCAGCGATGCTGCGCGCACACGCAGCATGCCAACGGCCGAGGAGAGCTGGTGTCTCTCCTCTAACACGTCAGACGCGCCCACCGCTGCCGAACCCAGCCACTCACACGCGGAAGCGGTGCTTGGCCGCCTCCTCACTCCTCTTCTGGAGCTCCTGCCGCCGCGCCCTCACCTCCTGCTGGTGCTGCCGCTTCGACAGCCTCGTTGCTGCCGCGGGGACCGTGGGGGCGGCTCTCTGCTTGGCGGCGGCGGCGGCAGAGCGTTTGTGTGTGTGGCGTGCTGGTTGTGCGGCGGGATGGATTGTGAGGTCTGACTGACCTTTCCTCCCAGCCACCGTCCTCCTCCTCCTTTTGTTGGCGGACTTCGACCAGAACCAATTCTGCCCGAAGCTGAGCACACATCACACACACGTACGTCATTGGTATGCCGTCACTTGGCCGGTTTGTCCGCGTGGCTTCTTGTTGCTGGCGTGCAGACCTCATTCGGCGACACTGCGAGATGGCCTTACGACACCACCAGGCGGAAAGGGGAGTGCCACTGCGTAGGATGCCAAGGAATCTCTCAACTGCCTGAGGCAAAGGCAACAACAGAAACAGGCAGGGGCGGGTGAATGTGTGTGTGGCGTGCATCATGGCCGACGGGCAAGTGTGTTACCTGGTGTTCTTCGCTGCCGCGAAAGGATTGGTCGACGACTTCTCTCTCCCAAGAAGCCACGCGCAACATCTGTGTCTGCACGAATGCATTCATTCACCGGCACACAGCAGCGGCAGCACCACGATGGATGGATGAACACTCACTCTTTTGCCATAGGTGTATGCAGTGACCTGTTCCGCGAGTTCCAGCAGTAGTCTCTGATCAGGAAGATCCTCACTGGGCGAGCGACCTGACCACAGGCAGCCACACACAGACACAGACAGAGAGACACAGAGAGAGAGGGATGAGTCGGACGGCCAGCCTTCTCCCTTTCTCCCCGTGTGTGCTCTTGTGTGTGGTTGTGTGCCTCACCGAGTGTGTTTTCGTCGTGTCGATCATGATCGTTGTCTGCACCCTCATCCTTCTGGACTGGCAGGTGACGCTCACGACCCGCTGCCCCGGCGGATAACAAGAAGCTACTGCTACCCTCCTCCTCTGTGTCGCTCTCCGTTCCGTCCACTTGCCGCACGCCCGACACACCCACACCCACACCAAAGTCCGCACCAGAGCCGGTACTGCTCCCTGGCAGACCTACATGCACACGGATGGGGTCATGCGGATGGATGTGCCTCGTGTAAGTGTGGGTGCGTATTTGTGTGTGTCTGTGTGTGTGTGTGTGTGTGTGTCACGTACCATCAAAGGGCAGCCGTGACGGTCGTCTTCTTCTTGGCGGGGGCGGCGGCAGAGCGTTTTCACCCGGCCGGGTGGGCTTGGTCGGTGGTGGCTGGGCGGGTATGGGGCGGCCTTCTTGGTGGCGCCTTCGTGGTGGCGTGTGGCGGTCTCGCCCCTCTCACCGGCAGCGGTGCTGGTGAGCAGCGTCGGCGGGCGTGGTGCCGTGCGTCGTGTGGGCCGTCGTGGTCTCGTCGAAGTGCCGTTTGGCCTCCTCTGCCGCCGCCTCGGCCGCCAGCCGGGCCTCCTCCCCCCAGGTCT